GATTAAATTTTGATTTTGGTCCATATAATTTTATATTTTTATTTTTCTAAAATTTGTAAACATTATTTTTAGTTATTGTAAAATATTTTTATCATTATAAAATGAATAAATTTTGATTTTAGTACATGTAAAATATTAATTTTTACTTTTATCTCTCTAAAATCTATAATCATTATTTTTTATTTTTAATGATAATTTTAAGATAAATAAATAACATTTATTTTTAAGACATATAAAAAAAAATAGAAGTGTCTCACACTAACATATGTAGTATCACCAAGATGGTCACTTAACATTATACTAAACAAATAAGTAATTAAAAATGACTATATAATTATAACAAAGATTAAAAATAATAATTTAAATTTTATAAAATAAAAATAAACTTAAAACTTATTTAATTTTAAAAGTTAAAAATATATTTAAGTGATAATAAGAATTACAAATAAGTTAGTTCAGCCATTCGACAGTTAAATTAATTTTTAGATGCCTAATTTTCATTCAGAAGAAAATAAATTAAGACGACAAAGAAGAAAGAGAGAGAAGAGAATTTGGTTAAAGGGCATGAAGAGAGGTGTTAGTGCTACACTCACAAAGTTTCTCCAAAGATCTTCTCTAGTTACCATCTTTCATTATGTGTAATTTTTATTAAGTATGGCTTAAAGAAACACGTGATTCTTTTTTTTTTTTTTAAATTAAAAATTAAACTTGTAATATATTTCTTAATGTTACTACAGTAAAATTAAATGTTATATTTCCTAACGTTATAAAATTATTTTTTAATATATTTTATTTATCAATATTTATCAATATATTTTTTATTCACTGACTTCTTAATTTTCCTCTTCTCTCTTAGTCAATTTTATCATTTTTAATTATTATTTTTATTTGTTTTCACTTAATGAAACCAAATTAAAACTAATTCAATCTCTATTATAACAGTAGTATAAAAAAGAATAGCATAAAAAAAATATTTTTTAAAATAATTACATAAAAGATCTCTTAATTCATAACTCAATAAAAAAAAATTAAATTAATAAATAAATTATTGATAATATGTAAAAATATAAGATTTTTTGTAAGACTCATTTAAAAATTAAAAGAGAAATATTCAATTAAGAAAAAAATATTTATAAATATACTTAAATTAAAAGAGTATAAATAAATGATATGTACAAATGAAACTTATTTTTATTAAAAAATATCTCCGATGAAAATGAAGTTCAAAAACGAATAAAGAATTTATGATAATAAACAACTATTGATGTGACATAAAATAAGGGTTGAAATTAATTGAAATAGAGGGCATTATTATTTGAATGCAGTTCATTAGATTTTTTTGGTGTTATTTTTAATTAGAATCAAAGTTTTATTTCAATAATATAAATAATAATTAATAAAAATTTGTAGTAAATTATTAAAATAAATTTTTTATTATAATTGAACAACAACACCAAAACATTTAAGGAATTATATTTAAGTTTTATTCTTTAGATTCAAAATTTATTTTTGATCTGTACAATTTTCAGATCGTGCAATTCTAATCCTTCAAAACTATTTATCACAAATTTAGTGTCGTATGTTTTCTCGTCGAATAATGTTTGTCGAACGTTAGTTTCCTATCAATTTCTATCGAAAACCATTGACGTGACTCAACATAATATAGAGAAAATGACACAAAGCTCATATGGCATTGAGAATCAAAATTGTACACTTAATTTTACCTCAAAATTTTTTTTTTAATCTTTTTTTATTTAATTTTAAAGTAATTGAAATTAAATAATTTTCATAAATAAATTAATAATGAAAATGAAAAAAAGAAAAAGAAAAGTATAAAGCCAATCTCACATGTGACACTTCATCTTCTTTATGAGAGAAATAGTAAATAAGATATACTATTTAATCCGATAGTTACGTGCAATCTCATTGAATGAACAAAGTGTTGGAAGAATCCATTTGAATTACATGATAATAGTTTAAGGCCATTAAGCAGTTGCAGAAATAAAGTATGTTTGGTGCAGTAGGGCGTTATTTTCCGTTGGTAAGACTCAAGAGAATTAGAAAATTGTGTTTAAGCTTTGACTTTTACCTCTCAACAATTAACAAATGCTTCAAAGTTCAAACATTCCCGATTCCCATTTCCATGTTTGTACGAAAAGCCAATCAAATTCAAATACTTTTTTTATTTTTATATATAGTAATCATTTGTCTTTCTTTTTTCTTTTTCTTTAATCTTTCTCTTACCAACCGTGTGGCGTGAAAATCTGTCATAGGGTAACCGGCTGCGTGGGTCACATTTTAATCCTCCTAACTTTCTTTTTGAGATCCTAACTTTATTATGAGCATGAAAGTTAGCTTGATTTATTAACTTATTTATAATTGTTTTTATTAAATCTTTTCTTAAAACATTTTTTATTTACTAATTTATCATTTAATGAACATTTTTTAATTAACATATAAAATTAGATTAAATGAATAGTAAAAATTTTAAAAATAATGAGAGCTTTATTGAATATTTTTTGATACGATTATTTAAAAATATATAGGATACGACACTTGTAAGATACGTGTTCATCAAGGACCAATAGTTTTATGTTTCTATATTAAACATGTTTAAATATCTTATTTAGCCGTAATGGATATTTCATAATTTTTCAAAAATTTGAACACTTTATTGATATATATCACTAATAAGTATCGGTGAAGTATATGAAAGTATCAAAATTGAATAAAATTTTTATAATATTTTTAAAGGCTAGGATACTTCATTGACACGTATCGGTGAAGTATCCAAGAGTATCGTGTCGGATACGTATCGGATACGGATACGTGAAGCAAATTGAAGTATCCGTGCTTCATAGCAT